TCAGATTAACGGAGAGGCAGTGGAGCAGGTGGAGAAGTTCAAGTACCTCGGAAATATATTTACTAGTGATAGAAAGTTGGAGGAAGAGACCGACCGGCGAATTGGAGTAGCCAGTAGCATTCTGCGTGAACTAGCCCGACCCGCTATGACTAAGGCAGAGCTCAGTCTGAAAACTAAGCTCTCGATATTCAAGTCGATGTTTATCCCCATGCTTACCTACGGTTATGAATCGTGGACCATCATTGAAAAACTTCGAATCCGGGTACAAGCTGATGGAATGGGTTTCTTCGACGAATCGCTGGCCTTACGCGTCTCGACATGGTCCGGAATAGTGACATCCGGAAGAGCTTTGGAATACAGCCTTTGCTTCTCCAGATTGAGAAGTCACAGCTGCGATGGTTTGGACATGTGCTGCGAATGCCTCAAGAAAGGATGGCTAAGCAACTGTTTCTTGCGAATCCGACCGGTAGAAGGAAAACGGGACGGCCAAGATTAACCTGATGCAAATATATGGAAGGAGTCTGTTCCAGACTTCTGTTGCCTTCTGCCGAAGTTCAGACTCTGGCAGAAGATCAGGAATGTTGGAAGCGTTGTCTGACGCGTCTGCCTCCGCGACCCGAAAGTAGATGCGGCGATGGAAGATGAAGATGAAGGCGAAGAAAGCCAAGTAAGTGCCGTCACGTTGCTGAATCAACAAAGGAAATGCTTTTATAGCCATTCAATTACATTCTTTTGTTCTAATGCTCGTTCTCTGATCCAAATGAGATAAAAGAAATTATTCTGGTTTATCTTTCTTTCACCAATGAAAACAACTTTTATGCAAATTTCATAATATTCCTGGTCATGGCATTTATTACTAGTCACATCTCGCTGAGAAGCCAAATTTCGGATAATAAAGAGCAAACATTCAGCATTTGATTTTAAACTAGATAACTGAACATTCTTCTTTTATGCGGGAGAATAATTGCTTGGTCATCATTTTTTTGTAGGTTTGCTCTGCATATACGTGATAAAGTGCAGCTACATTATAATGTTTGTTTCACTGTGCACTATTCGTGCGGTCACGTTTCTTGGCAGCTTTTATATTGTTCAGGTATAACGAAGCCGTAGATTCTTTAGAAAGTCTCGTATTTGTGTACTAGATGTGGCACCTTGCGATCGCTGTTCACTTCGTCACATGCTTCATGAACAGATTTGTTCACGCTCCTTGGACCGCAACTGAACACGCCGATCCTTTCGATCTTAAGAAAAGAAATAATTTAATTTTACACTGACCACACACCAAGATCAAAAACGGCTACCTTCTGATGCCTGTCCCTGAAATATCTCAGCAATGGGCTGACATTTGGTCTTCCAAAATGGTTAGTTGCTTTTAAGTTAGTGAACATGCTGCATCCCTGTTGTACTCGAAAATGCTTCTCGCATATGTACTGAAGGAAAATAGATGGCAAGATATAATATTAGGATGCTAACCCATACCAACATAGTAGTTCTCAAGTCGTACTTGTGAAAATACTGTGTGACAAACACATGCATCTCCAAAGTGTTCTTGTGGTCTGCTTCCTCTGCCTTTCGAAGAACTTCTACAAACCAGTCGTAATGTTTATATGTTGGGCAAATCCATACGAAATAAATCTGAAATATGCATCAGTTAGGAGGAAACATTTGCAAAGCAGTAGCTTACCTTTTTACATATCGCGTCTGAATATCCATTGCCATTCATGGCGTGAACAGCGTCCAGCAATATCGATGCATACGGAGTAACGCCAATTCCAGCTCCGATCATGATGCATGTCTCATAATTTCCCCAGTCCTGGTTTCCGGCTCCATAAGGCCCATCCATCTGTAGCTGAAAATACGTAAAGCTAGTTGGCGTAAACATAACTTTCTTTGTACAATTCAGATAACATTTGACATCGTAACAGAGCGACTGACATCAGGCATGTAAATTCGCAGCAACCTGTGATGAAGTATGTATGTATGTATGTATGTATGTATGTATGTATGTATGTATGTATGTATGTATGTATGTATG